CATATTTCATATTCCATATTCCATATTCCATATTCCACATTCTATATTCCACATTCCATATTCCATATTTCATATTCCATATTCCATATTCTACTTTCCATATTCTATATTTCATATTTCATATTTCACTTTCTATATTCTACTTTCTATATTTCATATTCCATATTCCACTTTCCATATTTCATATTTCATATTCCATATTTCACTTTCCATATTTTATTTTCCATATTTCACTTTCCATATTCCACTTTCCATATTCTATATTTCATATTCCAGTTTCTATATTCCATATTTCATATTCCATATTTCATATTCCATATTCCATATTTCATATTCCATATTTCATATTCCACATTCCATATTTCATATTCTATATTTCATATCTCATATCTCATATTTCATATCTCATATTCCACAGTCCACATTCCATATTTCATATCTCATATTCCACAGTCCACATTCCATATTTCATATTGCATATTGCATATTCTATATACCATATTTCATATTTTATATTTCATATCTCATGTTTCATATTTCATATTGCATATTCCATATTCCATATTCCATATTCCATATTCCATATTCCATACTCCATACCCCATATTTCACATTTCATATCGCATATTTCATATTCATATTCATATTCACATTTATATTTCCATTTCCCTTCACACTTCAATTTACATCTCGTCCAAAAACTCATTCTCAAAAACTCGCACCCAACGCTCACCCCCAAAAAAGGAAAACCTAAAAAAATCTCAATTTCTCTACATTCCTCACCGTTCCCAACACCATCAAAACCAAAAAAACAAAAACTCTCATTCCAGCACTCACCAAAAAAATCCACACACAGCTCCTTCGACTCCCCAAAACCAAAAATTCCCTCTCCACACGAAGAGCACCATGAACAAAAAAAAAACGCCCTCGTCTTAAAAGGCGTTCGAATACTTTCGTGCCCCGTTGTACCACGCTTCGGTAGTATCCCGTGGTACAGTCACAGCTCGCGTTCCGCCTATAGTTCCCCATAGCGGCGGCTTGCATCGGCTGTATTCCTGCTATCCGTGGTTGCTCCGCAAGCGGACGGAGAGCCCCGGCGTGGCTCAGCTAAAGTCCACGCAGTGCAGTCTCCGCTATAGTGTTTAAGCGTCGCCGGCGCGGCAGTCCATTCGCGACCGGCAGCCAGGCAGCACATTCGAATCCCTTTGTCTGGCCCGCGCGAACGCGAGAAGCATCCTCCGGAGGAATCCGGGCCGGCGGATTTTGCGGGGCTCGCGTCTCAGTTCCCCGAGGACACCACGGCGGGCCACGCTGGACCCAAGGTCACTGGACGCGGTCAACCTCTTCTGGATTCCTCGCGGCGCGCGACTCGCTTTTCCGACGCGGCGCGCCGCGACCCGACGACCCCGTCGCCCGGACGTCGCCCAAGAGAAGGCCCCGGGAGGCCCGCGGGACCGAGTGTGAAAGTGCCGGAGTAAAAGCGAGGCAAATCGGGCCGCTGCGATCGGTTTCCGCGCGAGCCGCGCAGTGATCGACGACGAAAAGGTGCGCGGACAATCGAGCCGCCTCGACGCGGAGGCGCTCCCTGCGCCGTGGATCGCCGGTCCCGTCCGTTTGGCCGACGGTGATCGATACGGTCGATCGATCGGAAGAAGCCCGAGGCGTCCCGAGTCGGCCCGAGGTGGCCCGAGAACCCCGAAATCCAACGAAAGAAGCGATCCGGCAGAGCGCGCGTTCCTCGATCGGCCGCGATCCGCGGCGATGATCGCCGCGATCGGTCCCCGGGGCCCGCTAGCCTGCCCGCGGCCCCTGTCCCGCGCGTTTCCGGGGCCCGAGCGTGTTCGAAAGTCACCGCGGATGACCCAGACTCGTGCGCGATCGAGCATGAAATCAATTCGAGGCGGAGCGCCGCGAGCCACGGACGGCCTGCCAGCGATTTCCTCGCGACTTCTCGGGATCTAGGCTCGGGATCTAGGATCCTACGACCGCGGAGGACACGCGGGAGCTTCCGAGCGAAGCGGCGGAGCGGTCGGTGCCGTGGGATCGAGAGGATCTCTCGCGAGGATCGAGGGAGAACGAGACAGAGAAAAGAGACGTCGTCGTCGTCGCGGACTCGCCTGGACGAGATAGGAGCGGGACGATAGCCGAGGTCATCTCCGGCCGAGTCATTGGGAATGCATTGTCCACGGTGCTCGCGCGATCCAGCTTCGTCCGCTTGCTACGCTCGCGCGCGAGATCGCAGCCGCTTCGAGCGGCCGCGTCACCGATAATCGAGCCCGGAGTTTATCGCTCGCGCGCGTCTCCTCGCCTCTCCTCCCTCGCCCCGACGCCGATTAACAGAGCGAGCTCTTATCGAACGGCGATGCTTATTGAATAGATCACTTCCGAGCGAGCTGGCTGACGCGGACTGGCGGCCGTCCGTGTCGAACGCCGCGAAACCAGTCGCCGACACCTGCCCAGCGGCCGCAGCTTCTCGAGCGGAACCTGCGGTGCCCTCGGCTTGTCGTCTCAATTACGAGCGTTTTGCTGAATACATTGGAGCCTCGCGGAGGCGGCCAAGTCGTCTTTGTTCGGAGAACGCCGCGGTTTTGGCGCGTTTTTGGCGACCGAAGCGGTAACGCCGCGACGAACCCGGCTGCGAAAGTGACGCGGAGTATACGGTTCGATCGAAGATCCGCGGCGTGGAATTGGCGGAGACGAGGTGTGGATGATCTAGGGACGATCTGCAGGCGATTCTGAATGGAACTGTTGGTTCGGATTGAGGATTTGAATTGAACTGGGACCTCGAATTGAAAGAGGAAGGGACGAGCGCGTCGGGAAATCGACGGAAATGATCTGTGAACGATCTGAAGACGATCTGGAGACGATTTGCAGATGATCTAGAAACGATTTAGAGGCGATCTCGAATGGAATTGTTGGTTTGAATTGAGTCTTTGAAGTGAATTGAAACCTCGAATTGAATTGAAACCTTGAATTGAATTATCTTCGCCGGGAAGACGCGATACGCGCGTCGATAAATCGACGAAAACGATCTGTAGACGATTTCGAGACGATCTGCAGACGATCTAGAAATGATTTAGAGACGATTCTGAATGGAACTGTCGGTCTGAATTGAGTCTTTGAACTGAATTGGGACCTCGAATTGAATCGAAACCTCGAATTGAACTATCTTCGCCGGGAGGACGCGAGAAGCGCGTCGATAAATCGACGAAAACGATCCGCAGACGATTTGGAAACGATCCGCAGACGATCTAGAAACGATCTAGAGACAATTCTGAACAGAACAGTCAGTCTGAACTGAATCCTCGAATTGAACTAAGTCCTCGAATTTAACAATTCCCTGCGGAAGGAAGCGACAATCGCGTCGCGAAATCGTCCAAAACGATCCGCAAACGATCTTTAGACGATCTAGAAACGATCTAGAGCCAATTCAGAACATAACAGTCGATCTGAACTAGATCCTCGAACCGAACTAAGCCCTCGAACCGAACAATCCACCCCTGGAGGCCGCTGTAATCGCGTCGCCGCGCTCATTTTGGACCCGCGGAGCGCCGCGATAAAACGCGAACACCTCGATAAAACTCGAACACCGGGGATCCCCGAGCACCGGGAATCCAAGTAGCAAACTTCCGCAACACATTTAGGCAACAATAAACCGAACCTTGGCGCCTCGGCGTCGAATCGTCGCACCTGCCGCTATCAGCGAAGCCTGACCGCGCGGCGTCGCCGAGCCTTGGGTGCCCTCACCGCCGCACAAAACCGGCGGAAAATCATCGGCAACACCTGACCAGCAGAACCGCCTTTTCCCGGAGCAGCTGCTCCGGTCAGAAGTATCAACAAAGGAGGCGGAGGAACAATCAAGCTTGATAAGCGGCGTCCGCGCGCGGCGAGGCAAGAGAGAGAGAGAGAGAGAAGGCGCCGAGATCGGCGCGGGTGACGTCAGTTTCCGTCGAATGGTGCGCGCGTTTCGAAGCGAGGAAGGGAAGATAGGTGTCGGAGGATCGAACGGGGACGTGGATCGCCGGTTTGCTCGATAAGAAGCAGCGATTCCGCGGCGTTTGCGCTCGCGACTTCTCGCGGCTCGCCGCGCAAAAACGGATGCGCGAGCCGAGAAATCGGGATTCTAGATCGTTCGCGAGTGAACCAGAAGGTCTATTCGAAGTCGAGGGACCTAGCAGTGGGCGACAGTGTACCTTCGATCCGATCTAGAAGAGAGCGGCGATCGAGAGGCGCTTGGAAGTCGCGGCCGACCTTGCGATCGCCGCCGAAGAAGACGCCGTCGTCCCGAGAAGACTCGTCGAAGGGAACAGTGGCCGGCGTGTTGAGGTGGTCACGAGTGATCGGTATTCACGGTGGGGACGAATCCCAGACCTACAATCGTCGGGTGACGTCAGGGTGCTCGCGCGACGCTCCGACGCGACGCGACGCGGCTGAAAAGAACCGAACGGAACGGTTCGGGAGATCGCTTTGTGCGCTGGAAATATGACCGCTAAATATAGTCGGAAGAATTTCCGCGGCATCCGCGCGGCCGGTTTTGCTCGATTTTCGTAGCCGCGATTTATGCGAAACGAGTGCGGCCGCTGGTCCGCGGACGTCGTCGTCGTCACCGACGTCGCAGGCTCGTGTTACCCGTCGGCCGTCGTCTGCGAATCAGATCAGTGACTCGGCCGAGCGCGTCGTCGACCGAAAGATCATCATCGTGTGCCGCCCGCTCCATCGTGCCGTGGATCACCACGACGAACGAACGATGCTCATCACTAAGTATACCACGATACTGCTGCAGTCCACCAATCAGCACATCATCAGGTAAGCGGTGGGGACTTTTTATGGGGGAACGTGACTGGTTTTCGTTTTTGACGAGAATGATGTTGATCGAGGATATTTCGAGCAATTTGAATCACGCGTGTGTTGTTGATGTGGACGCTGTTTTGACCAGAAAATAGATTAGACGTTTTTGTATATGTATATTTTAATATTTTAATATTTCAATATTTTAATATTTTAATATATTCCAATATTTCAATATATTTCAGTATTTCAATATATTTCAATATTTCAATATATTTCAATATATTTCAGTATTTCAATATATTCCAATATTTCAATGTATTTCAATATATTCCAATATTCCAATATATTTCAATATTTCAACATATTTTAATATTTCAATATTTCAATATCTCAATATTCCAATATATTTCAATATCTCAATATTTCAATATATTTCAATATATTTCAGTACATTTCAATATATTTCAGTATTTCAATATATTCCAATATTTCAATGTATTTCAATATATTCCAATATTCCAATATATTTCAATATTTCAACATATTTTAATATTTCAATATTTCAATATCTCAATATTCCAATATATTTCAATATCTCAATATTTCAATATATTTCAATATATTTCAGTACATTTCAATATATTTCAGTATTTCAATATATTCCAATATTTCAATGTATTTCAATATATTCCAATATTCCAATATATTTCAATATTTCAACATATTTTAATATTTCAATATTTCAATATCTCAATATTCCAATATATTTCAATATCTCAATATTTCAATATATTTCAATATATTTCAGTACATTTCAATATATTTCAGTATTTCAATATATTCCAATATATTTTAGTATTCCAATATATTTTAGTATTCCAATATATTTTAGTATTCCAATATATTTTAGTATTTCAATATATTTTAGTATTTCAATATATTTCAATATATTTTAGTATTTTAATATATTTCAATATTTCAATATATTTTAGTATTTCAATATATTTCAATATTTCGATATTTCAATATTATTTATATAAGATTATATATATTTATATTTAATTTTTGCAGAAA